TAACTCTAATTGAACTGTAAAGTGAAAATCTTGTACATGTCTTATTTTTTATTCATTTAAAATGCTTTTATTTATACAGGATAGTACAGACAGCGGGCAAGAAGTGAAGAGGGAGAGATGGCATCGGAATGGACCTCGAGCTGGGACCCTGTCGGAGCACTGCACTCACATTTTATTGAGAATTTAAAAACTTTTGTACTGTACATTTTAAATATTAAATGTTTAATTTAAGGGTTACTGTAATTGAACAAAAACTCTTTAAATATCCCATTTAGATTTCTACTTCTACAGGTTTTTAACATTACTTCGAAAACGCTGCAATTTAAAGTTTGAGATGTTTTTCATCTGTTTTAGAAAGTATTTTTAGACTTGTTTTTTCAGAATAAAACTTGTTTTACAATTTGAGCATTTGTTATTTCTTTATTAAATGTATTTAATTAAGCTGCTGCAAGTAATTTGAAAGTTACATTTTTTTTAGTGTAGGCCTACAGTTAATCACAAATTCAGTCAGCATTGTCATGACTATGTTCCAACTGCAAACTAGGTTGTAATTGAATGTACAATTGTATTATCCCATGATGAAAGGTAAGACGGTTGATTCAGTTTGCAAAACCGAAGCATAATTCAAAATTGGTTCAATGTCGACATTCAACCTTTATTCACCCATATTGAAAGAAGAGACGGTGAAACAATGTCACGATATCAACGGTGAAACAACGTCACGATTTCAACGTTGATTCGTTTTGCAAAATCGAAAGGTGATTCAACGTCGACAGAAGACCATAACCCGACAGGTAAGAGTGAAACGACGTCGCGATTTCAACGGTAAATCAACGTTGTTTCTTCCGCGGTGAAACGACGTCACAATATCAACGTTGATCCCAAGGGCGTAGATTTGGTTTGAACATTGGGGGGGTTGAAGTTTGGGTATGCCTCCTGATATTGTGATCATGGTATAAATAATGGGGGGGTCGTAATGCATAGATTTAAATATTGGGGGGGTTATATCCCCCCCACAAATTACGCCCCTGGTTGATCCGTTTTGCAAAATCGAAAGGTAATTCACCGTTGATTCAACCATGGTACCTGACGTTGTTTCAACGGTGAATCAACGTTGAAATGCCGGCTGGGGTAGTTATAAACTCTTTAGACTGTTAATGATTAGTGCTTTTTAAAAAAGTTTTTGGGTAAGAATCGTGTAAAAAAAAAATCCCTTATTTTGGGGATGGATTCCGGGAAATCTCCCTTATTTTCAATGTTGACAGCTATGCTATGGGAAGATGCAGCAACGTGGTCAGCTCGGCCCAAAACAATAGAAAATCACACCGGTGTAGCAGTCGATTCTGTTCCCTACCGGAATTCCTGTTCCCCCTGACAACGCATGCGTAGCAGTTGCAACGAAGCTCAGCTGGATGTACGGAAAGCGAAAAAGGCCAAAAGCATTGGTGCAACATTTAAATGTCTTGATTAGGGATGTGCACGAATATTCGAATTTTCGAATATTCGATCTGTAATTATTATTCGAAAAATAAAATACTATTCGAATTTTACTACGTTGCTTTGCTGGCCGTAAATGCAGTGAATCCATGATAAATCCCAAGCACTAACTCGCAATTATAGTTAAATGCACAGGATGGCGCTGTGGAGTGTGTTAACAAGTTGTGTGTGTTTGATCACATAATGTTGTCGTCTGCCTCGCGAAGTTTGGAATTACTTGAAAATGATCTTACTAAATGGAATTACTTTTGATCAAATTAATTAATTAATCTGAGTTATAATATCATCACCACAATGAGAAATCACATGAAATCCAAACAGTTGAATGAGGCAAAATAGCTGTCCATCACTGCATCACGACTGCAGGTAAGCGCAGCTGGACCCCGCGTTATCCGAAATGATAAATGATCTTCTAGCAAAATGATTTTGAGACATATACTTCCTTTAAGTTTCGTTGAGGGAGACCGGTTTAAGAACAGAAAACGCAAAGTGCTGTTAGAAACTTAGAACACCGTTATCTTTGTGTCTCTGAAGCGTCTGTCAGCAAAGCGCCTTTTCTCCCTCGAGCTGGTGCATCCCCCTGCATGTGGATATCGTTTTTCTCAATATAAACGTGAAACAATATAAACACGATAATCATACTGACTCGAGTGTATGTGTGCGTTCTGTACGATATCTGGCGCAATCTGCTTTATTGGGCGTTTTTTCCCCGTTCGCGCTGCTTGAGCATGCTTTTATTAATGCTTTTGTTTTTTATATTTTTTGTTTACACATAGGCCTACTGTTTAATGTTTTCAACTAAAAGAAAACTTTAACATATATTGTAAGCTTGTTGTGTATATTGCCTAATTGTAAGCGTGTTCAGAAATGGTGACAAAAACGTAAAAAAAATGTCAACTTAAAAAATAACGTCTTTTTCGTTAAACGTCATTTAAATAAACGAATATTCGAATATTCGATTTTTATGAGCCCGAATATTCGAATGCAATATTTTAGAAAAATGCCCATCCCTAGTCTTGATACACTGCAGCATAATAAAATGGTTCTCGCACTCCAATCATATTTCTGTGAATTAATTTAATTAATTTAGCACTTGTTCATAGTTTTTGTATTATGTCTGAATATATTCAGTTGAATTGTGCCCATATAAATCGCCTTATGTGTCCATGTTGACATCCAAACTCAATGCCTCATATTATTGTCTTATTATTATTTATAAAGATTGCAAAACGTCAGAGATGACAGGTTTATGATATACAACTTTGTAAACAATATAAAAATATATTAACAACAAGTTCAATGTCACCAAAATACACACGTGTATTTGTGTATGAGAAAAATAGTTCCTCACATTATTGTCACAAGGGAAACACATTTTCAGGTGACACCTTTTGTTCCCTGTATGAAATAAAAATAATGAAATAAATATGAATAAAACCATATATTGCTATTACTACCTTTATTATTATTTTTGACATGCAAGATATAGGCTATGGGTGCAACATAACAGTCTAATCATAATTAATTCAATTTCAGAGGGCACTAATTAAATGAATAAATTACCCATATTAATAAATGGTGTTCTAAATTGGGGAGATGACCACACAACATTGTCTCCTGAATTTTTATTCTTGCTGGCACATTCCAACAATGGATCCAAAAATGTATGGGGAAATCATGAACTACAAAACTCAAGGCACATAACCATTTGCATTAAAAAGACCATAAATATGTAATTCTCAGACGTTCCTCCAATTTCCAAATTGATGGCAATTAATTCCAAATGATAATTATTCTACACAGTGGAGACAGCTCTAGATAACTCTACAGACAGGACTCAGGAGTGAGGTATAGTGATACAACAAGACTTGATACAAACAAAAAGCCCATAATTGTCCATGGACTATAGCCTTCTTATAATTAACTTGCCAGGAACTAGAACATCAAAAATAACCTATCCTGCAATTTCAGTTTAAATTAGCCTATTTCTTTCATTGGGCCTTTGTAAAGGGGCCATCTAAATTGTTGTTTAGATTTATTTTACTAAAGCTAATAAAGCTATTTCAATAGATGGCCAACTTTACTACCTCTCCTCAAAAAATGGAATATATGTGTTTCTTGCAATAAATAACAATATCAGTCTTTCAAAACAAGCATTATTTATTTTATAATATGAGACATTAAAAGCACCTGTGAAGTGATTGTGATTCAAATAGTCCTGCACTAGAGGCTTATCTGTATTTTACAGTCTATGGTATTAACCAGAGCCTTAATAAAACATCACATTGAAATTGGTAATACGGTTTAAATTTGAAAAGAAATAACCTGGATTGAATTGACAGATGGGAAAACTCAATTAGGGCTACAAGTTTCGGAAATAAAATACAATACTTTTTTAACCTTTTGGCTTCCCGTACATCCAGTTGTGCTTCTTGCTCGTCATAGATATGCTTGCTCGTATTCAGTTCTGATGGTACGTATGGTAACTCGGCAACTACGCATGACTTGTAGTATGATTGCGTAAAGGGAACAGGAATTCCGGTAGGGGACAGAATCGACTGCTTCACCGGCCCTTCTAGCATGTGCCAGAATTGCCAGATGGCCAATCCGGGCCTGAGTAACATCCACTTTTGTTCTGGTTCTGACATTGCAGTAAATCGCGCTGATTAAATCTAAAAATCGGTTATCATATCACGCAAAACTGTGCAAATTATACTTTGTTCTCAAATTGTTAATGTTAACAACGTCAGCATTGCGTGACTACATGTAATGTCCTTCCGATATGTATCCTTGTTTTCGCATGGGCCTGGTTGCAGTCTCTTTTTTCCTGTAAGTTACCCACTCCGAAGTCCGAACTAAGTCTTTTGTATTTTACAACGGGTGAGTCTCCAGTTGTCACTGGTGATTGTCGTTTGAACCTTTCTGGATCCGGCATCAAATTGATAAGTTTAATCATCAAGTGCTGTGAGAAAAGGCTATAAATCTCCACCTCCAACATCCTCACACGGAATATACTAGCCGAGACTCCTTCTTTATGAGTACATATGTGACGTAATGACGCAAAGACATGCTCGAATCTCCCGTGAAAATCCTTCAGTAACACTGAAATTAAAAAAACATTATTACAAGCTTACCGTTTTGAATCGAGCTAAGGCAAGCAGATAGTTTTGAACACTGGCTGGTTATTTATTTTCTCAAATATGTATTTTGGATAATTTGTAACCCAAAAAAAACTACGGACTGCAGCTTTAAAGATAGCTTTAGTTTTTGGACCCCTAAGTAATTTGTGGGAGGCTCCACCTCGTGTCTAAATGTGGTAGTGCATTCAAGGTTTTGATTATTTGTTATGTGTAATTTTGATGTACCCGCTTAATTAAATATTAGACTAGAAAATACAGACCTAAGATATTTTAAGTCCATACACGCAACTACTTATGAACCATTCTCTGAAAAAAAAAGCTATTAGACTGCTTTTTCCCAATACAAGATTTGTAGAGACTCACCAGGCGTATGAAGCCGAATCCTCGATCTCTGTTGATGAAAACCTCATTTGCCTCGCCATATTTGGAGAAAAGCTTCTTGAAATCTTCCTCCGTCATATCTGATGGGAGATTACCAACAAACAGTCTGCACCGCTGAGTAAATGTTTTCTCCCCCGGTCTCCTGAAGTTCTTGAGGTCTAAAGCCATCTCTTGAAGCGCAGTGTTTTCAGGACTAGAGTCCCGCGGTGATGGAGCTGCCGCCTCCATCTTTTCGCTGGGATCTGGGGAAGATTCCGCGCTGCGCTTCACATTCTGCGGGTGCGGGGATGTAACGTTAGCATTGTTTTGAATATTCACCTGTTTTAGGTTACGGTTTGCCATTGCGCTGGAGCCTTAACTATGACTTATACAACACTGACTCGGTTTTTATTTTATATTAATCGAAAAAGAGACGTTGTAGTATGGTCTATTTTTTTTTTTTTACTATTATTGTAACCTATACTCAAATGAACTTAAAAGAAGACGACTCCAGCGCTGCATCTTCTTCTTCTTCTTGCGGCGGATTGCAGACACATAAGTGCATTACCGCCACCTATCACCCAAATGGACCATTGTCACTCTACACTCTCCCAGAACCATATGGCTCTGATATTATGAAGCTGCAGACTTGGGCTGCGTTCGGAATCGCATACTTCCCTACTATATAGTAGGGGAAAAAGAGTAGGTGAGCGAAAAGTATGTACGAATCATAAAAGAGTAGGCGATAATTACCTGGGTGACGTACGTGCTAATTATCGCGAGATTCGGACTTAAGTGCGTTCGAATGCCTACTTTCCTATAGTAAAAGACACAGTATAGATTAAGTTATTGTTTAAAAACGAACGCTTGGTGACATTACTTGTACTTCAGGGAGATGTTTTACATTAGATTAGTGCGTCATTCACTTGGCTTCTTCATATTTCTATCAGGATCGGTGGATCAGCACAAACTCGGGATTTTACGCAAATGATGATAATTGACTGTAAGAGTGTAAGCAGCTGATTTTAAATTCTAAAGCATGACCGTTTTTTGTTGTCATTTTTTTTAACGAGATTGTCCAATGCTTGCATTATTTGGTACAAAGTGCAAATAAAATGTTTAATGGCAAACACGTTTCCTGGTTGATTACCTGTTCATACAATATGAGGGCCTATTGGTTCTGTAAAGCCCTATGTTATATTTTTTAAAGATTCATGTTTTCTAATAAGTGTCAACCGGTTATGTACGACTGTCTATCTATGACTGTGACATCAGGTATATTAAAAATCCAATTGTTTATTCATCCACCATCGCATTGCGTGTTCATGTTCATGTAGGCTACTGGATAAAAATGGTTACAAATATTAACACTCACATATAGGCTAGCTGCATAACCATAAAAAAACACACTGCTATAAATCTGTGCAATTATAATAGGCTGTAATAAAATAAATAAAACACCCAGCAGAGAAGTGATATGAACATGTAGGCCAATTGCTTAAATACGCTCTTGAGCACATAGCCTAGATTATAATATTTGCTATAGATCAACATAACATCTGTTTTAGTAAAAAAAAACACACAAAAACATTGCAGCGCTGCACGGATTTTATTCCCATTGTACGCACATAACCCAATGGCCAGGGCTTGCTATTTGGTAGCCTGTCTTATTTGTCACCGTGGTTTTGCTTTAAAATAAAATAAAACACACTTTCGGATTTATCCTTTGTTTATACTGAAATACAGGGAATTATCATAATTTGTGTAAAATCCCGAGTTTGTGTTTATTCACTGATCCTAATGGAAAAACGAAGAAGCATAAACGAATGATGTAAAATTAAGGAGCTCTGCATGACATGCGGAGAAATATTGTCTAAATCAGCCCACATAGAAATGATCTCTCCTTTGATCTGCCAGTAATTTCATGCAGTCATGCTCATTGCCCACCAAAAGTGGCACTGACTTATCTGCAGGGTAAATTAATATAGTAGCCTATCTAGGCTAAATCTCAAACAGTGTATTATTTATCAGCAACATATTTTGTGATATCGCCAAGCCATAAAACTGCTCAATATTAAAGCTTACAATATTACTTTTTGTAAAGCTGCTTTGAAACGATGTGAATTGTGAATACATTTTGACAGTAACTTCATCTAACTTGATTCGTAAGTTCATCAAAACATTATCCAATTGATCGTTACTGAAATCGCAATTATCACTTAATATAGTACGGCCAAACAGCGTCATAGATAATTCATAAACTCGTACATAAAGGAATGCGCATGCTCGTGCCTCAAGCGTCTATGCCAATAAGATTGCTGTATTATAAACCAATAAAATCGGGTGTGGGCGGAGCGACACGTGTCGCCCCACCTAAAAGTGTCGCCCCGCCCCATCGTCCAGACTGCACGGACTCGGCAAAAGTGCGCATCAAGGGCGCAAATCGACCGCAGGGGGGGCGCTCGCGAGCACCCTTCTGAGATCTAAAAATGACAAATATGGGACACACTGCGGTCTCACGGACTTAACGGACACGCGCACGCGGCAGCCATTGTAAGTCCACAAGACCGAAAGTGAACATGAAGTGTGCCATTTGGGATTGGGCCTACGTTCGAAACATCAATGGCCCTGTCCCAAATGGAACCCTAAGCACTCGTGGTCTTCCTCTGAGTCCGCACTTTCGCGACGTAAGGCCGCTTTGAATGTCGGGAAGAAGTCTGCTGTGGAGTCCGCATCAGCGCGGGCTCGGCAAAAGTGCGCATCAAGGGCGCAAATCGACCACGTGGGGGCGCTCGCGAGCACCCTTCTGAGATCTAAAAATGACAAATGGGACACACTGCGGTCTCACGGACTTAACGGACACGCGCACGCGGCAGCCATTGTAAGTCCACAAGACCGAAAGTGCTCATGAAGTGTGCGATTTGGGACAGGGCCAGTATTCATAAAAGAGTAGGCGAGAAGTTCCCGGATGGCTTACTGCTTCCGGCCTGATTTTTGAGTGCTCAACCGATGGATACTCTTCTATCCCAGGAGGCCACGCGAGAGCATACGTCATTATCAAACATCACGGAGATCAGCGACGCGGAGGTTTTCGAATGTGAGTAAACACGGTTCCTTATGTGTTAAACTACTATAGAGTAAACGTTTTAACTGTTGAAGGTGTAAAGTAGTTAGACAGTATAGTATAGTTGTGATTTTGCTGTAAAAACATGTTTTGTATAGCTAGCTAACAGGGGAGCTCTAAGCACACGTAACGTCTCTAAAGTGGATTTACATAACCATATAAACATGCTTATTTAAAATGTCTATTTACATCTGAAAGGAAAATATTGTAAGTATTGACATATTGCAGATGAGCACATCACAACATGAAAAAGACATCTGAGTGATGTATGTGTGCATGGCATTATTATAGGATAACGTTATTAAATTCACTGTTGTCAACACTGTTGACATTAGACAAATGTGCTGTAAATAAGGTAAATAAACAAATCTATAAAGTAACTAAACACATTTTTATTCAGACTGGTGTGAGCACTGAGGATGAGGAGCCCAGAGCTGAATCCTGGAAACGGTGCCATGGATGAGACGCTCCATCACTCCACCGGCCCTTATCGCCTCAGATTGTGAAGCGCAGCGCAGCAACAAGCTCCGGCACGAAGGCACGGTCACCTCTGGTGAATTCATCAGAGTAAAGCCGCAGAATGGGAACCGCTGTGTTGAGATGGCAGTATGTGGGGCTCAGCGCCTGTAAATACATGCTTGTAGTTTGAATAAAGATTTGTTTCATGTGTTGTTGAATTGTATGCATTTGTTTATTGTGTGATGGTTACTTTTATTTGTTCTTTAACTCATTTATTCATGTTTCTTATTGTTGTCAGTATATAAAATATAATGATTTAATGTATGCATTAATTCATTGCTTGAATGACAATTGAGATGTTCACGTGTATTCATGCATAACTCATATGACAAAACAAATTACATTTTGCTTGTTTTATTAAATTATATCATTTTTAGTATATAAAAAAGTAATATAATTAAGTATTGGTTAGCATTTAATATTATTTTGTTTAAGTTTTGGGGTGGGCTAACAATGCAATTCATTCTGAGGTAATATATATTAATTTTTAAGGAGCGATACTTACATTTTTCGAGTATAAAATCAACAGTTTTCTCCAAAGGAGATCTTCGAGCAGCGGCCCGTCTCCTTGTGCATACATTACAAACGCCGAGGAAAACTTTTCTAGGTTGTGCTGTCGAGTTACTGATGTTATAAAGTGTTAGTGCACCTGTCGCTCATATAATTTAAACTTATAAACTTAAAGATCATGGAAAGATACCATAGTTGTATCTAACAATGAACAATCATAATGACAAAACAGAAAACATAAAGATCATTGGTTTGTGTACATCATAATATGATATTTATACACAGGAAAAAAGAACAATAACAAGGCTAAATATCTTTAAATAGTTCTTCATAATACATTAAAAATTGTTTTGTTGTTATAAGTCTGAGGGATGAAACGAGAGGTAAATTCATCAAGAAAAGAGGAAACTTTTTGGGTATAAAATAAAGAAATTAACTACATATTCAAGAGATGACGATTTTGGGGTTTCTTAAAAAAAATATATCGTTATAAGGATAAAACTGTGGGTCACATTAGTAGGGTTTAAAATATAACAACTTAAATCAACCCTAAATGTATTCACAAAATAAATTGGCAGCTCTTTCTTCAACAATACCACAAAATGAGCAAGTTTCATCAATATCTAGATATTTACAGATAGATGAATTAAACGTGTCGTTCATATCTTTTAAGTTGTTGCGCAGTAGGTCACATGATAACGTCAACATGGCAGATGATGTCCGGATCGCATTCATACTCAACGAGATTTGGCTATAAAGTACCTACTCTTTTAGCGCTCGTTAAGTAAATACTCATTGAAATTAAGTACCTACTCATTGAGTATGCGATTCCGAACGCAGCCTTGGAGCCAAGGGGGTAATCCATCAGCCGGAAGTTGAAGCTGCCTCCGGGGGCCGCCATTGTAGCTGGCTATCACCTGCTGTTAGCATCCCATTGACTCCCATTCATTTTGGCGTCACTTTGACAGCGAATAACTTTACATCTGAGGCGTCCAAAGACTCCATTTGTCCATTATTTATTTCTAAAGAAACACGACAATGTATAAAAGGCTCCATTACTTTGTATCTTACGTTACGGCCCCGTAGAAGCCATTCTTGTAAAAATAGGCTAACGATTGCGTCATAACCACGGGACGCTCTGTCGCACAGTAGAGAAATTACCGTATAGACTGAAGTAGAAGCTCGTAGGCAATCGTTTACTGTCTATGAGCCAATCGGGTGGACATGGAGGCATAAAGTCAAGGGAGAAGCCCATAGATAGTGAGTTCATAAAAGCAACGGGACAAAATATTTCAACAACAGATTTGTTTCAGATTTCAA